TCCTTGTAGCCCAAAAAAGGATAACTTCTTTTGAATAAATAAACATTTCAGTGCTTACGTGTACATGTTGAAAAATTCTCAAGAACTTGGAAACTCTGAATAGAAAACTTGATCTTAGGATAAATCAGTTCACAAAATTGTTCAGCCCAGGAAATCATGATTTAAGAATCCTTATTAATATATTAAAATATTTATAAATTACTGTTCATTTTGAGATTTATTTCAACTGAACTTTAGAGCTCAGGTTTTTTCAGAATTACTTTTTTCTTCTTTAGTTCACTTGGGTGGTTCATTTAAGTGGATTCCCTCACATGTTGGGGTTGATGGGAATGAGTGGACTGACTTCCTGACCAAATCCGCTGCCGAAGAAGAAACTGATCATTGTGGGAAGCTTACCTTTAGGGAAATTTCTTCTTTGGCGAAAATGAAATTGAACAAGACCATACGAACTCCTCCCAACCACTCTTGGTATTTTGCAAAAGAAAACCGGGAGAATCTTTCAATCTTAGACCGAGAGCCCATCAAACTGTCCTTTCACGCTTCTTGAGTGGCCACACTAGATCCCTTACTTTCAACCAGGGCCAAAAAACTTATCCTGAATGTCATTGGTGCTCGACAGACATGACTTCCCCTGCGCATATTCTGACTTGTTTGGGGTTCGTTAAAGATGAAGTCCTGCGAAACTCCAGTCTTTTTATGGACTTTTTGGATGTGTTCGGATTCATGGGAGCTGTCTAGCGCTGCTAGACGATTCCGAGATTAGCAACAACAACAACAGTTCTATACTGGTGTCTACACATTTACAAATGAGCAGGGTAATTATTACTCGTACAAATAATACATACGAAAACACGCAAGATGCGTAAAATTGCGAACTCTCACAGTTTTAACTTTTATTTACTTTTGTTTTAGTGAACATACATTTCAGGTTTGTTGCTGATAAATTTTTCACGATTTGCCTAATTCATTTCAATGAAATGAACTAAAAAAAAATTTAATATCAGTATTTTTTTCTCCAGAAATTATATGTGTTTATTTACAAAAATACTTTGCTTTATTAGTTTTCGAACTAAAGGGATTTATTTATTTACTATGATACATTTAAAAAAATTAAAAATAATGTGACATTGTTTCCTGCAAATTCATTAGATTTGCATGATTCGAACTGTGTAGCATATTGGTTTCCTGATTTTGGAAATTTTTATCTTCACCGAAAAAGTGATTTGTCAAAACATTAATCGAAAGTTTATAACAATGCATTGCTGAATACAATACATATAATTTCAGATAATTCCATATTGAAAAAATTATTATTGATTAACTTCTATTATAATGAAGACGTATCACAAGCAAGCCGTATGGTTCGGCGGAAAACAAAATCATGCAAGAAGATATAAATGAAATTTATAATAACAACTGTATGTTTTTAGGAAAAAAAATAAGGATAGAATAAAAAAATAACTAATTATCATTACGAAGTTATCAAAAACTTTAAAACAATAATTTTAAGTTTCAAATTAAAAGCCAAGCAAAACTCACGCAAATGTGTTTTTTCTACCACAATGCACTTTAATACTGCACACTTAAAAATCAATGTAATTATAATTCCAGTTAATAACATGGCTCTTGACCAGAGTCAAAAATATTGAAAATCGATAAAGCAACTATGATGCAGCTCTAAAATGTTTTATTCAGATATTCAAGAAATTATTCGTGAAGTTTTTTTTACATTGCTATTTCAATATGCTTTGAAACAGATATTTAATTTCATATCTTAGCCATCTTTACTGAAATTCAACGATAGTTAGTCAACTTTGGCAACCAGAACAATCATGTTTATAGGTTTTATTCAATTCATTCAACAATCAGTAATATCTATGCATTTGTAAAATAGAAATTTCTCTGGCATTCTGTTAAGAAATCTAAGTTTTTCTATTCTTATTTAGTTATGAATCATCCCTTAAGCCTACTTTAACTAGGTTATCAACACCCATGCAAAGTGATTTCACATTTTCAGATTTAACTTAAAGCAACTCTTTTTTTCTCTAACCTAAAAAAGGACATTTTTATCAAAACATTTGTTTAGATTCCTGTTCAGTAAAGCTTCTGATCTAAGTCAGTAAATAATCTAATTCGATTTTTCTGTTTAAAAAAATAAAAAAGATAATTTTTTTTAAACTTAAATTGAAATTTTCCTGTTTACTTAAAAGATTATTTATACTCGGAATAACACTTTCAAATTTATTTGAAACAGTGAATATAAGGTTTATATAAGGTTAATATAACAGTCAATATAAGATCTAACAGCCGTTTTAAGGTTTAGCATCATACTTAGAGATTTAAGAGCGTAATTTACGAAAAATAATAAATGGTTCAAATTGAGAAAGATTGTATTATAAATATTTTTATTGTTCATATACTTTTGAGTAAGAAGAGTCAAAAGTTTTAGCTATATAAGTTATAAATGAAGAAACTTTAAAAACTGAAATAATATTAAACAAATAGCTAAAACATGCAAAAAAATGCTTATAATATTTGTTTTGCGTTCCGAATAGTATGTAATTTAAATTCCACATAGTCCTCCGAAAACAATTCTATGGGAAAACCTCCACGTATACCTCCAAAAACAATTCTATGGTAAAGTCCTAATTCGGAACTTTTGAACTGTTAGTTCCAAAAGAAGTGACCGGAGGGCAGAATTACAAGTTGGAGAATTTGCCACGTACTAGGCGAAACATTATGGAGTACAACCTGAAAGTCGGAGCTACATTTTTCCTCATCAGAAAAATATTTAAGGCAACTATTCACTGTTTTAGTTAATTTTTCAAATCCAGCTTCTGGACCTTCTTTTATTAATTTAAAATACTGGTGTTTGCACTCAATTTCTTTTTTGAAAAAACTTAAAAAGTTATTAAGAGAGATTTTTTTTTTTTTTTGAAATTGTAGAGGTATAGGAAAGATACGTTAACGTTGAATACATAATAAGAGGTTTTTTGCCGGTTTATCTTTTTCTCTTTCGTTGCATTAGAATACTCTCATACATTTTGTCTGATTATTCGATTACATTTTTCTATTTAAAACTAGTAGTATTTTAACAAAAAGAAATGCAATAAAAAGTTAAGTAAAGCCTAATCGATTAAATTCAAGATTTTTTTTATTAAGTTTTACAGCATTTTAACAAATTTTAAAGTGTGTAATTTATTAATTAAGTTGAAATAAATGTTTATATTGATTAATTTATTTATTCTTGTTTTAATGTTTTTTTTCTTACTTTTCTATGTATTAAAAATTTAGTTTTTTTAAAAACGTAATAAAAACAAGCAACTACTTCAATGAAAAAAAAAAACTTAATTAGTCAACCTTTATTTTAATTTGTTGTTTTTGTCAAGTGACCTTCAAATTCGTGAAATTCAGCCAAACTTTTTTTAATTCAAATTTTATGTTTTTACATGTCAGATATGTTTCTGAACATTTTGTTAAAAAAAACTTTGCAGGAACTGGCCTTGTATCAGAAATGTTATGTGTTCCAATCTCGGGCAAGGCATGGATGTTCTTACATTCTCTGTGCTATATGTCCTTACTGTGGGAGCAACGTTGGCCTATCTAATATGTTGCCCCTGAACGAGCGGTCAGGAAATCTGTTTTAAGATATCTGTACGACGAAAAGTCGTTCTCTAAGTCGGCATTGGAGAAAAAAAACTATTGAGATTGAGCCCCAGCAGTTAAAAATCAAATCATCAGATCAAGTTATTAGGGTGTTCTTTTTTTCGGATTGTACAGCATAGTATGTTCTGCGGTATATCTGTTCTGAATATATTAGTTTGAATTAACCAGTTATGTTTTCGCTTAAAAACTGTCATATCTACTTAAAAAATTTTTTATATAAAACAAAAAGCATTAAATTTATCAATTCATACTTTTAAATTAAAGGACTTTAAAAAAGCTGCTTCTCATAAATCAATTTAAAATATGAGAAGTTGCCTTGATTCAAATTCAAAAACTATATGCAGAAGCAAATCTTAAAGATGTTTTTTTAATTGATTATATAATAATTATAATAAATATTTAATACTGTTTTAAACTAGAGTTTAAAAAAATTTTGCTTTACGTTGCATGTTGCACAAAATCCAAGACTTAGAAACTTCCTTATAACTTATCAAATTACGAAAAGTATGTAGAAAAAATTAAATAGTATGACTTTTCTGTTTTTATTATTTTTACAATTTAATAGGGTCTAATTCCGCAAATTATTATACAGGCATGCATATGCACAACCTGTTCGAGCCGGAATTTGTTTTCTGTCTGAAACATAAATCGTCCATAATTGATTTCATGGTTTAAAGGGTTCCAAAAAATTTTAACGTCACACATTTGGATTAAAACTAAAATTTTTGAAACCAGAGATCAAATATATTTATTTAGTTTAAGTATTTTCATCAAAATAAGTACACATCTGACCATTAAATCGTGTTAAAGCTCAAGAATTAAATTTAAAATATGATCTAAAACATGCACTTTGTTTCTGAACTGCTAGCATATGTGTATTTAGTACAGCGGGGCATGTGAAAATTAAGGGGTAGGGTGAAGTAGGACATTTTGTGACAAAGGGGAGCTCAGTGAATACGAATAATGCTTTTTGTTATTAGTAATAAAAAATAACGTGCTTGTCATTCGATAATTAGTTTTCGATGAATTAAAAAAAATTATCAGGAATCGTTCAAATATAATGTAAGCACTTGCTGACAAGCAAAGGCGAACATCAACAGTATTATGGCTTGTAACGTATTTTGTTTATTTGCCAATACCTTAACTAATTATTGAAATAAAAAGACAGAACTAATTATTACCAGTAATGGCTTTTTAACGTATAATTATAAGCTTACATTTGGTGGGAGAAAAATCTATTTCTAATTTCTTTGCACTCAACTGAATTAATTTTTTTAATGGTATGTGTGTGTGGGTGCATGCGTTATAATTACGAGCCAAAAAGGTAAACTGCAAGAGATGTAAGCTCTTTTTTTGTAAATCAAATGAACAGATACAAGCAGAGTTAAAGATACAAGGTAGTAGTAACACAAAAATAAAGATACAAGCACGGTAGTTTCATCCTTGCAATTATGGTAATAATGCCTGTTTAGCAAATTCCTCATCGCTTTCCAATGTTGTTGATTTATCCTTCTCTGAAATTTCAATAAGGAAAACATTTCTTGTCTTTCACATCAGCATATTGCTGAGCTATTGCCAATTGGTTCGTGAAAGTCATCAGATAGTTGTTTTAATTCTTGGACAGCATTTTCTGTTAATTTCACTTCTAAGCATTTACCTTCCTCTAAATCAAAGGATTTAACAGGAACTATTATTTTCTCAATTGTGTCCACGAAGGGAAGGCACTTGCCTTCTGGTTCAGGAAACTCTTCAGATGATAATTTCTCTGCGAATTGTTTTACAAATTCTTCAGCAACACGTAGAAACGTTTCACGGCTCTCTGCGTACAATTCAGTTACTTCAGAGAAACGAAAGTGATCAGTATCAGGCTCACTAAGAAGTCTGCGAAGAGCTTGGAAGACGTCAATCATCTTTCTTGTGCTGTTCCATTCGGTGCAGGTTTCACGCATATCAACTTCTCCGGAATCGGTAACGTTCGGGTGATATATTTTAGTTCGGAAATATATTTTTGGGGGTGCATGAGGATACTCAGGGGGGATGTTGACTTCGAACCTAAAGGCACCTTTGTTGTATGGAGCGCAATCGGGCACCAGAAGTCCATTCCATTTCCAAATATCATTTACGCGTATTTTCTCAAAACACTTCATATTTGCTGCTTTTATTTCTTCGAGTTCTATTCGCAGTCTATTAGCGATTTTACCCACTTCTTTGGGTATTGGTCTATCGGTATCATCAGGTCTTCTCTCAGAGAAATTTTTTGTCATTTCTATTGCTTTTTCAATAAATTCCTCCTCACTTTCTACACTGATATAATATGGTTTATTGACAACGCCTATGAGACATCGAAAAACCTGTTCCATTTGTGTTAAAGGGCTCCAATACTTACTTAAAATTTCCAAATGGATATATCCTTCCTCATCAACTTTCGGATGATAAATCTTTGTATGAAATAATATTTTTGGTGATTTGAAAGGATAGTCATCCGAAATGATCATTTCAATTCGAAAGGCACCCTTGTCATAAGGTGAACAATGAGGCACAATAAATACATGCCACTTCCAGACATTATCAACTTGAATATCATAAATATCCTTCATATTTGCAGTTCGAACATCTTCGAGCTCTGACCACAAGCGTTTCTCCAGCCTAGATCTTCTATTTTCAACAGCCATTTTTTGTTCTGAATGAAATGGATAACAGCAAGACTGAAATTAAAAATGTTGAATTAGCTAAAATTTGATACCTTAAATTTAATGTAGGCATTGAACAAAGGTTATTATGGAGATTTTTAATATTATTAATAGTTAATACTAATTTAAAAATAAGTCGCACAACAAGTAAGCTGACAAATATTATTTTTATAGCTATCGTTTCAAAACGATTCATCTATTAGGCAAACTATTTTTTATTATTAAATATATACTGAAAATACTTTGAACTTATTTATAAAAAGGAACGAATGAAGAAACACTCGCACTTTATGCTACAAATTCTCTAAGTATTAACGCATCATTTTAATTCATTCCTCTGTGAGCTAAACACTTACATTCTTCAATCTTATTAAATTCAGCGCCCAGTTTCTTATTAAACTTAGCGTTCTAGAAGATGCTCACCACCTTCTTGCTACTTGAGTAGATATTTAAAATCATATAATAATAAAATTCAAATAAGGTAATCACTAATTACTACACTTGAGCCGCGGTGCTCGAGGAATGGAGCGTTTACCTTTGAATAAAGTAAACCGGGTTTGAATCCCAGTAATGGCAGGTTGATATGAATTCCACACCCGGCTCGCACCAATCACAGTGCTGACGTAAAAAAAATCCTCAGTGGTAGACGGATCATGTATTAGAGTCCCCGTTGCCGTCAGTCTAATCGTGAGGGATTTCGTGGTTTTCCCCTCCACGTAATGCAAATGCGGATTAGTTTTATCCCCGAAGACAAATTTTCCCAATACTTGATCCTGGAGTTCTCTTGTCTTCTGGATTGGGTTCAAAATTACAAGGGTACGGAGTAGAATATTAGTAGTCACAAACTGAAAAATGGCTCAGCTGTTCAATGACGGTAATAAAAAACATGACCACACTGTTCCTAGATGGAATAATGAGGAGTGGGATCATCAATATATTCCGTCACTACTTCCAATAAGAAACAGTGGTGTACTGCATTTTCTGGGAAAACTTTAGATGCGCTTTCCCCCAAAGCATATCATTCAAACTGATGTTCATTTCTAAGTTCCCCTAATACGGATATCACAGGAGAAAAAAACATGAGCCACCGTAAGCGTAACCTCCACTTTATCCTCAACTCTAGGGGTGATTTCGCGTTAGGGTTAGCCGGTAGGGAGCAGCCGGTAGGGAGTAGTCGGTAGGGAGTAGTCGGTAGGGAGTAGCCGGTAGGGAGTAGCCGGTACGGTTCCTTAATTACACGAACAGTTGTATAACGAGCTACCATTTTTTATTTTTTATCCTAATATTTCGCTAATATTTTTTTTCGTCTGATGCTATTATCTCATAGTTTTTTAATACTGTTCGCAAATTTAGGAAAAGGAAATCCCAGACGTTGTAAATCATTTATTGATATCCATTTGATTTCGTGCATTTCATTATAATCTTTATTCGACTACAAATAAGAATTCTTTTCAATTCACTTGCACTTTAGTGGAGCCGCATAGTATAAAAATGTCTATCACGGATATGGAAATGATTTTAAAATACAGGAGTATTACATATTCAAATTCTAAAGGTAAAATAGGTGAAAGAAGATAGATTTAAGTGACTTCTTTCTAATATTGTAAAAACTAATATTGTAATATTATATTGATTGACTAATATTGTAAAAGTTATTCATGCTTCATCTATAAAAAGTAGTTTTTTTTACTTATACCTATCATATAATTAATTACACTTATTTACGAATCTAACGTTGCTATCTAGGGAAGTGAGGTATGCTTATCTTTATCTTTACTTCTTATGGTTATCTTACCTATGAGTATCTTTACACTACATCGAATGAACCCAATTGTCTGATTTAGCAGTTTATCAGTTACAAAAGTTATTAAAGGTTTCAAAGAAAAGCAGAAAAGTAAAGGTACAATGTAAGAAAAAAAATTTTCATAGCAATTTACGCAGCTGACATTGTTATCTAGACAATTGAGATATTGCTTCAAATGTAATTTTTCACGCTAAATCCAATAAAATCAAAATTAAACCCTCAAACTAATAGTTTAGAAGAAACGATGGATTCATGCACGAAATATACAAATTTTGACATATGTTTTACTCATAAAATACTTATAACATCAAAATTATTAGATCTATCAAATCAATTTTGCATTTTAAAATTTAGTCTAAAAGATACTCAAAACATAACGCCAGACTTGTCATTATAACAATGTCTTATCGTCATATAATTATTGTCATATAATTAATTCTATTTTATTATCATATAATTAATTAATTGATATAACATTAATTATAATTATAATCAAAAAGATCACTTTCTTTCACCATTTTTTGAAAAAGAAATTATATTCAAATACTAGAGGCTTGATTTTGATTAACTAAATGTCATACTTATAGTTTATCATAAGAAAATTTAAAGCATTCATTATTGAAATTATATAACCTAATTAAAAATTACAGGACTTATTTTAGGACAAATTTATCATAACATGCAATACATAAATTCAAACTAAAAATAACTAAAAATAATATTTCTTTAGGAGCACTCTTTTTATGTACTCTATTAATTTGTTATTGGTTTTTAAAGTGTTTTATATCTTGAATAACACAAGACTCAATTTAAAAAATAAAACATTTGATATTAAGAACATTTGGGACATTGTTCATTTACATTTTCATTTTTTTTCTTAATTCCAAACATAAAAAGAATGTTACATCTGTTTCCTTCTATAACAGACATTCAGGGTTCCAAAAAAATATCTGAGATAAAAGAAAAAGAAATTGATAGCATGATAAATTATTATCAACAACATTATTAGAATAACTATTAGTTTGAAATTAGTTAAGTCTTCAGGTATCCTTCAAAAACCTTTTTTAGGTCTGATAAATATTTTGATTATAGTTCTGGGATTATTTGATACACAAAGAAATATGGAAAGTGCAATTAATTTTGGAGTTTTTATGATTGGACTGAAATTTATTTGCTTTAGAAAACATACATTATATTTTTAAATCTTATTTTTTTATTGAAAATAAATCTATAATGAAAAATAAGTAGGAAAAACTTACATACTTGCTCCCGTTCTTGAAGAATAAAGTATCAATAGATAAATGTATGTTAACTTTGAATAATAATAAACTAAATATTATGCAAACCATCATACACCAAAACAAGCAAGGGATGAATGTAAAAACAGATAAGAAAATAAAAAGGAAAAGGATTATGGAATATAGGAGAGTAGAGATTGCGGAATTTATATTTTTGAAAATTACTTCTCATATATTACATTACTACCGTTTTTTAAAAATTCCTGAATAATTGCCATAAAATGAAATAACTTTGTGGGAGACAAGGTAAGGATTAGCTACACAAGTTTTCTGAGTTTTCTAACTTGTTACCGTTTTAAAATAATTTTTTTCAAAAATTAAAAGAATATTAAGGGGAAAAATAAAATAATTATTTCACAAGTAAAATAAATTGTAATTTTTTTTCAAGTAATAAAACACATGCTTTTACAGTCAACAGAAATAAGGATTAAAATTTAAAAATAATGAAATACAATTTCTATTATAGTATTTTATATGTTAGAATAATGCATCAAAGTCTTGCGACTTGCTTGGTGAACATTATAATGCGTAACTTTTCACCAGGAGAAATCATTATTTTTATAAAAATAGAAATTATTTCAGTCTAAACTAATAAAATCTTTACTTGAAAAAGTAATCATATATTTTAGTTTTATTAGTTTAGAACAAATAAATATTTAAAAAAAACAACAACATTGAACTGGAAAATAGTTTACTGCACATTGAAAAGGATGAACGGATGAAATTTTTCATCGCTGAAACGGAACAGCCTTGCTGTTTAAAAATAACATTTCCTTTCTCATTAAAGCATTAAAAGTACTTTCATAGGATGAGATGACCATCTCAATGCAGTTGGTGCATCATAACAACTACCTGCACATAATTTTAGTGGCGGTAAGTTCAGCGAACTATTTGCTAGATAAATTTTCTTTTAGAATATTTATTCGTTTCAGACTAATAAAATTAAAACTTATTATAATTTGTTCCATTAAAAGTTTTGATTACTTTAGATAGAATTTCTACTTTTACACATGGCGAAAATATTCGCCAAGTATAAAGTAGAATTATTATTATTACTTGCATTATTATAACATATAAAATATAATAGAGATAGTATTTCTTAATTTTTTAATTTTATCTTTATTTCTGTTTATTGTAAAAGCATATGTTTGATTGTTTGAAAAAATTATTTTAAATATTTTTTTATTTATAAAAAATTATTTTATTCTTCCCTAAGAATTCCTTTAATTTTTGAAAAGCTTATTTTAAAACAAATTTGAAAACTCAGAAAACATGTGTGGAAAATATTTACCTTGTCTCTCACAAAGGTAATTATTGAAATTTTACGGTACATATTGAAAAGTTTTTTTTTTAAAAAAAAGTAGTAATATAATATATGAGAAGTAATTTTTAAAAAATAAAAATTCCACAGTCCCAACTGCCCTTTATTCCACATTCCCTTTCCTTTTGATTTTCTAATCTGTTTCTACATTCATCCCCTCTTCGTTTTAGTGTATGATGATTTGCATGATATTTTGTATTATTATTATTCAAAATTATCTTATATTTAGTTTTTACTTTTCTACAATGGTAGTAAATATATAAGTTTACCTTACTAATTTTTAAAAATAGTTTCATTTTCAATGGAATGAAAAATATTTTATATATACAATTTCGTTTTCTTTTTTAAATTTCAGTCCAAACATCAAAACAACAAAACCAAATATACCTCCCATCTTTCATCAGAGTATAGAATAATTTTAGAACTATAATTAAAATATTTATCAAACTTAAAATAAGTTTCTGAGAGATACCTGAAGGCTTAACTGATTTAAAATCATTAGTATTTAATCTTCCTAATTCTAATAATCTGTCGGTAAAATTTTATCATGAAAGTGATTTTCTTTTAGTTCAGATATTTTGTGGACTCCTGCAAAGTTTGTCTGGTGTAGGAGGGAGGAGATGTGATATTGTTTTTATGATTGAAATTTTAAAAAAAATTTCTAATGTAAGCTAATAATGTTCTAAATGTTACACTTGATATTAAATGTTGTATTTTTTCAATTGACTCTTGTATTATTTATAATTCAAAAGCTTAAAGCCTATAGCAAAAATAATAGGGTACATAAAAAGTGTGCTCTTAATAAAATATTGTTTTTTTTCTAATTATTAATAAATTTAAATTTATAGTATATGTTACAATAAATTTGTCCTAAAAATTTTTTTATTTAATTTATATTATACTAATAATGAATCTTTTAAATTTTACAATAATAAATTGTAAGTATAACATTGAATTCATGAAAACCAATCTTCTTGTATTTAAAAAAAATTTTAAAAATTCTTATTTCGTATAGATATAAAAGTGATATTCCTGATAATAATTACAGTTGTAATGTAAATGAATTTTATAACAATGAAATTTTGAGACATTGTTGTACAGACAAGTCAGGCATTATTTATTATGCAGTTTTTAGGGTAAAATTTTAAAAAAATCAGAATTGATTTAATAGATCTAATAGTTTTGATGTTATACATATTTTCTGAGTAAAAGGTAAGTCAAAAATTGCATATTTCTTACATTAAAGCCTCATTTGAATTATTATTTCAAAGTACAAATTTATAGGATTAAGCGTAAAAAATTAAATTTGAAAAAATGCCTCACTTGTCTAGATAGTAATAACAGTTGCATAAAGCTGTATAGGTCATAAAATTGTACTTGAATACACATGAAACCTTTATAAAGTTTCGAACTTCTAAGCCATTAGATCAGACACCTTGATTTTATTCTCACTCGATTTAGCGTGGTGATAAATATATGTAACGATACCTCACTTGCCTAGTTAGCAATGTTAGATACGTAAATAGGTATAAATAAAAAGCTATACTATTATACATAAAGTATAAATAACTCCTATAATATTAGTCTCTCGATTCAACGTAAGAAAATCTTAAAAATACTAGATAGTATTTAAGTCTATCCTCCCTTATCCTTTTAGAAAGGCAACATGAAATTCATTGATATCTTATCATCATTTTTAAATTATGAGCTAGAAATGATAATCCTTTTTATACCATGCCTTCCCACTAATGTGGAAGTGAAGTGATCAGAATTTTTATTAGCAGCTGAATAAAGATTTTTAAAATGCACAAAATTAAACTGATATCAATTCTAAAGAGTCTGTGATTTTCTTTTCCTCACTTTACAAAAATCGTTGAGAATTAATGAGATAATAGCATCACATGAAAAAAGTTAAAATATGAGCCAAATGTCAATATAAACAGTAAAAAATTGTGAACTTTTTGTGAGTAACCGTTCGGGCAATTAAGCAACCCTATCGGCATCTGCGAAAGTGCTTTTAGTGCCTACTTGTTCTGATGTATTTCTTGCAAAAATACTAAATCCTATTGTAGAAACTCTTTCACTGTACATAACATAAAAAACAATTGGAAAAGTAATGCAATTAACCACTAAATAAATAAATTTTTCATTTTAAAAATCTATTTAAAAAATTGATGTTTTGCACTTGAATTGATATAAATAATTCATTTCATGACCTAAAACATTACTTTTTTTCGTAATTCTAAAAAAGAATAGGTAAATTTTGCAAAAGTAATTGGATCTTATAACTATCAGTAAAGCATTACTAAATATATAAAATATTAATTAAATATCTAATATTTAATAATATATAATAATTCAATATATAAAATATCATTAATTTGTAGATGCAAATGATATTCTTATAAAATTTATTAATAATCAGGTAATTTTACGGTGCTAGGCATATAAAAAAAAACTTAAGTTTGGAAAACGAATTTGTTTTCGCACTACGTTTCATTGACATTATCAAAAACTAGTGTAGTGCTGTCATCTTTAGAATTTTGATTATGCTAAATATATTTTGATAACGATATTATATTAAAAAATATAATTAGTTTTTTTATTGTTTAATTCAATCATGTTTCACAGGATTTTGCAATTTAATTACCTTTTATATTAAATGTAGGTAATCCTTTTTCCTCGCTTTTTCCTCTTTAAAACATAGAGAAATGTTCTTAGTTTAACATATTTAATGGTAAAAACAAATTTAGGAAGTTTTCTTTTTTATTTTAGTATAATCTACTACTTTTATTAGGAGCAAACTTTTTCTTTCAACTTTTAAATTTTTATTTAAGGAAAATTTCAGTCTTTTTCATTTTAAGAATATTTTAATTAGAAATTTTTATAATTATCTAGTGATTGGTTGTTAGACTTAACTAATATAATTGTATAATTCTTTATTCTAAATATTTTAAAAAGTTAACAATTTCAAATTCATTAAGCTTATTTTTTTTAGTTTAGTTTGAAAATATAAAAGATCTGTGAATTCGCTGCAGATTTAATAAGAGCTAAAATTGACCCGTGTACCGAGTCAAGTTGAACAGTATGAATCTAGTCAAGAAGTACGATAATATGAATCAATTATGCAACATAGTTCATAAAAATGTCTATACGCTAAGCATAACATTTTGTTTATTTATTCATTCATTATTATTTTTTTGGGGAAAAGTTTACCTAAGTTAGACAAAATATCATACGTTTTATCATTGAGGATATTATAGTATTGAGGAATACTACAGATAAGAACTCACATGAAGTGAAAAAAATACTTTAATGTATTCGGGGAATATTGAGAAATTATAGAATGCCTTAATCTTGGTGTTTGTAGTCTTAAAATTTGGTTCTTTTAAAAAATAAAAGTAAAGAAAAAAACAAATCAAAAGTTTTGATTATTATTAGTTTTTGCGAAAGATTAAGATCAATGTTGGTTCCCAAAGTAAGGAAGGAATTTTACAAAAATGTAATTTTCTCCTCTTTTTAAGTGTATTTCCAAACAATATTCTAACCATGCGATGTTGTGGAAACTTAATTTGTTTCATAAATTATAAAGACGGAAAGAGTTTAGTTCTCAGAAATAGACACACATTCTCAAGGCTAGTCAAACTAAAAAATAAAACAGATTTTTAGAACGGAAATTAAAACAGATTTATAGCAGAAAACATAAAGCTCTCAACTAAAATAATGGAAAATAAATAAAACTGGAAAATAAAACTGAAAAGACCACGGGATCCAAGATAAGCAAATCAGGGCAGAGTACACTCCTAAGCGCCATGGAGATGAGCTGAAGAATTCTAATTTTTCAGTAGGGAATCGACATTCATTTAAAGGAAGTTAGATTCGAGAGCATCAAGATGAGCTTTATGTGACAGAGGACGAAATAATTTTGGCATTATAGGTAATTAAACTTTGTATAAGGTTTCAACATTATGTGGCAATAGTTGGCGGACAAATCTATCATATCCCTTTAATCTAAATTTTAAAGCAATTGGTCTTCCCGAGTTACAGAACAAGTTATGTGATAAATGCCTATGATATTCAATACTGATAGGATCTTTAAAGGACTTAAATTTAATTAACTGACCTGAAGAAAACATTAAGACCCAAACAGAATAGCAATTTTACAGCAAACGGATTTGGAAAACGGCATATTAATAAGTGCACTGTAAGGATTAGAAGAAGGAGGAGCGTTTTTGTCTAGTGAGGATGGTTGACTGAATGTAAACAATAAAAAAATTTCTAAGAATCGGAAATTCAGAAAACTTCCCTATGTATCCCTCCGCCTATGTTTTGCTTACGAGGCGATATGTGAACAGGCTTAATATTCTAGGAAGCTTTATTAATGTGATTTGTGCTTAAATTTGCGCGTAATTTTATTATTCGTAAGAGTTTTGTGTATTTTATAAATTCTAACAGGCCGTGAGCCCAAAAACAATTTGACAAAATTTATATCACAGCATAAATAAAGTGTAAGGTTAGTCATGTTTTGAGTGTTATTCTTCATTTGGCTATATTAGTGCAAAATAGCACCGTTGGTTATTTTTTGGGTAGCATCACTGCAACCTTGCGGAGTCTTCCAAATTCAGCTGTTGTTTATTTCGTCACTAACAAGTAATATTGTAAACACTATAAGCATAATAATATCGCATGATGCGATTTTTCAAGCTAATAATTACTTAATGAACTAAAAATAATTCTGCCAATAAAACTTCAAAACATCGTTGTTTCCTTAGCTCTGATGCAGGTCCATGATTTGTAATTGTCCTCAATCAGCTTTATAAATCTAATGCGAGATGACCTTTAAAGTTTGACTATTTAGTCAAAACAGAAGTTTTACGATATAAATTCGTATGCTTAAATTTTGAAACTTTAAATATTTTCACTGATCTTTTTCAGCCACTTTTTTACTCCATATATTTAAATTAACTGAAAAGCACTAAATTCATTTTGAACAATTAATTAAAGTCCTAACAAAAAATAGTTGGTTTATGCAGTTTATAACAATAATCGGATTCCTGTAATCAACCATTTTTCTCCTCGATAAATACGCACCAGTACCAAAACAAAATTTAAAAGAAGAATAAATTTGAATGTTTAATTATACTTTCTTCACATAAACTAGATTTCGTAAGTATGTAATATTATTATATGATCGATTGTACCAGTAAAATGATAAATTTTGCAGATCCTCCCTTCGAACTAAATAGAACTACGAGCTATGAAAGAATGAACTGAGCTCCAAAAGAATATCAGCAATTTCGTCTTCTATTTTGTACAGAATTTTTCATAAATTCGAGTTAAAAGTGTTACTTAAGTATACATACCTTTTAAAGTTTCCTAAAACAATTACAGGTACTCGTCTAATTGCAGACGATTCCTAATTTACAGAGAGAGAACGCTTACTTGCTTAGATAAAATTATTATCTGCTTTGTAATGACGCATGACTTTGAATTACGTCAAATCTCTCACTATTATGACAGATTATCTCTCAAATATTATGATACTTTCACTTTCAAATGCAGCTTTTTTATGCACGCATATATTTTCTTAAATATTGTCAAGTGATTAAAATTGTAGTTTTTGAAGTTTGTTTATTAATAAGTCATAGCTGTTGAATAATTTATTAACATAATAGATCATGTCTTGCTTTTTTTAAGAATAATTTAAAATTAGAAGGGGAAAAAATATAGTTTTTTTCTCCACAAGCAAACGTTTCTAAAAAGTATCGTTCTTTTACTCGTTTTCAAACTTTTCTTATTTGATTTTGATACATATAATTTTACTTGGATACTTATGGCATGTTTATAAAGCATTACTATCTGGAATCTGTATAAAATGGATCTAGTCTTACCCCAATTTCCTCAAAATTTATCAAAAGATGTCGGTATAGTACTTAAATCTAGAACTTTTCTCGCATTCAATGATGGAGTTTTAATAAAGGGCGTATGGGCTGGTGAGATTTGGTATTATCTAATATGGTTTATGTCCGCATTGGGAACAAGTACATTTCTCTGCGGAAATGCAACAAAATGAATGGTTAATACATTGTTGAAGCTATGCTGATGCTTTCAAGGTTTAAATTCTAGCTAATTCTGAACTTCTCCATTAAAATTTAGTCTATGTTAAACTTTTGCTAATCTTTGCAAGGAATTTTAAACGAAATTAAACTTTTGCCAATCTTAACTATCATTAAAATCTTGTCTACGCTGAACAAATGCTTATGTATGTCATAAGAAAAATCCTATTGNAGAAAAATCCTATTGATGTTGAGCCTCTGCTAATCTTAACCATAATTAAGATGGTGCTGATGTTGACTTTTATCGATAACATTTCTGGTACATTGCATTTTCCAACAAAAAAATTTTACAATGTTATGGGGGTTCCTGGTCTACAGATCAGGTTAAAAGCACATTTTTAACTTTTTTTTTGAGAAATAAAACTCTACGTTATATAATGGTTTCCTTCATGGTTTATTTTATCACCTTTTAGTTACGTATCAAACTTTTTCTAGCACAAATTATTTATAAATTAAGATAGAAAAATTATGGCAAAGATTACAGTGTCAATGTTGTACTTTGGACTGGTTTAAGGTGGGCAAAAGATGCAATGTTAGACTTACTGACTTACAGTATGTAAATTTCAAGCCCTAAGTAAATCTATTAAGTTTTAATAAAATATTGTTTATTTTTGCTTTTATGGTTTATTTAATTTGTTTTAGCTAATTCCTCATTAAAACTCATTCTTAGTGAACGACTGATTAAGAATAAGTTTTAATTCTATGAACTTCAATCAACTAACATGTCTTGAAACAGAAGTCAATCTAGGGGGAAATTTTGTCAGCTTACAAACCTTTAACGAAATTTAGATTCCTACTTCTGAATTTAGAATACTTCTGCTTCTTGAAAACGTACACTTCTCAAAATTCTAATGCCTGAAAACAAATACTTCGCAAAACTCAATTATGATCTGTCAGATCTTAAAATGGATTTTGTTACAACTCAAAAGTAATTTACGGCAACGTAAAAATGCGTTGTTTTTTTGTAAATTATGGCAAAATACAGTCAATTTTGCCATAATTAACAAAATATAGTCAATTTTATTAAAACATTTAAATATAAATCTCAAATAAAGCTTATTCAAGCTGCAATATACATCTATACTATATGTATTCCCAAATATAATTTGCTTACTATGCACATTATCACAATACGTGCATAAAACAGTCCCTAGCTTTTAC